ATGGCTTTTGATAGGAGTTCATCTAGAAACCCCAGCTGGAGATAATGGTATTATGCACACCATTTCATATTACTGGAAAACATATTTCTTGTCCCCACTTCACCAGTGTAGTGGTAACTGGGGACCAGAGGAGAGGTTCCTTTCGCATCAATCTTCTGGCAAGAAGACAGTAATTGATGCTTTCTATGCCAGAATAAATCAGCTTTCTGGAAGGGTATTCCTTATAATGTTCGAAAATTGGTGATTTTCAACCTCCTCAAAAGGTGTGGGAGTGGGGAGGGGAGATAAAATCACCTGACCTCAGTTTCTGGTCTAGAACTTTTTGTATTAAAGGTGGCACTCACCAGTTATTATGTACTTTTGAGAGAGTGATGTATGTAAGGTGAAGTTGTTTAGATTTTAAACATGCACAGTGGAGAGAATGTTGGCATACCTATATACTACTTTCATGTAATGTGCATGAAATTTCTTTGGATATTGTACTTTTGGAAATTTTAAATGATCTTAGGACACTTCTAACTAAAATGACTGCTCCCTTGTGGTCCAAAAATCAACCTAAATTTGTCTAAAGTACACTATTCTTGGCAGCTATTAAAATATGGAAAATGAATTTTGCCAAACTAGATAATACCAGCTTCTAAAAGTGCAATGACTGATTTACCAAATACATAAAATGTAAAAAAAAGTTATCGGCTCTTTTTTTTTACAATCTACCTCTGAAGTTCGAGAAGTGAAAATGAGCAAATAGAGCTAGCACTTTTTTGGAAGGTGCACATCTGAAGTAAGGCCAAGTTGTATACTCTCTAACCCATATTACACCCATCAATCATACATCAAAATAAAGGGAATTAAAGGTTCTTTGAACAATACCTAAGATATACAAAGTCTCTTTTAAATAACCAGTATAACTAGTGAGGAAATCCGGAGAAACTCTTTTTCTTTAAAATTTTAACCCTATGCTAAATACAAAACTGTAGAGCGCAACCAAAGAATGGTTCAGACTGTTCACATTGAGTGGTTCCTTCACCCAATGATTTTTCACTGAATTTGCAGACTTTTGTGCATCCAGTGATGTCAGTGTAGAACCACAAACTGCCTTTCACTGTCTTCCCAGTCCTGGACTCAGAGTCATGGGCTAGCCAAAGATGTTCTGTCAATCAGATGGAATTAGTTTTGGGTCTAAACCATCCCCTAGACTGTTTTGATAATGAGAATGATCCAAAAAATAATGGACCAGACCTGGAAACAAATACAATGACAATATGCAAACCAATTAATGAAATTTATATTCATTAACTTGGAGTTATAGTCTGTTTCAAAAGTCCACTAGAGAAAATTACTTCAGATGATACTGTTGTATATTAAAAACTATTAGGGCATCTAGTTATTCATCTTGTAGTCTGAATTTAATTTGTGGGGATAATCTATGGATCACTTTTGTTACTGTTTGTCATTTTCATCTGCAACCTTCCAGTATTATATGTCATACATGCACAAGAGCTTATGGGATATCCTGTTCTCCATTAGCACAAGTTTGTTATCACTATTCATGATAAATTACTTGGAGGATTACTTTGAAATTTTAGACAATTCTTTTGATAGATCTAGTTAGTCCAGAATGAAAATGGTGCCACTCAGACAGCCAGTATGCTCACCACAGCAGCAATCTGTAAAATCTTGATATAGCTGCTTCTTCTGGAGATCATTTTAAAATCTAGTTTAATTTGAATCCTCCTGAATAAATTGTTACATCAAAATTGGGTTTCGAGCAGAAGACTTATATATTGTGATGTCTGGTTCTTCCTAAATCAAAAATGGTGCCAAAGTTGTATCTACCATGGACACCATGGTGGCAATCATGAGAATCATTTTATTGCTGAATATCAGAGATGATTTCAACACTTAGCAGTTGAAAAAAAAAATGGTCTTGGGATCCTGGAAGTTCTTTTCAGCCAGTAGAGAATGAGTTCCTTGTAAGGACTCATTTTCCTGTGACTACTGTTTTATGAATTATATAACAGTTTATATCCATCTCAGAAAGAAATATACCATATTTAAACAATTTAATAATAAATCTCTTTGAATCATACCAGAGCCCTATGTATATTTTCATTCAAATTCGGCCAATGATGAGCCCAAGTTTGATGATAAGACCACCCTCATTTTTGCCAGTTTTGGGAAATATATTTACTAGGGGTCAAATAATAAGGTTTTGTCTCCAACACAGGTTTTTTGGATGGCCACTAGATCATATCATAGGAAAAATACCAGAATAAACTGGCAATGATTATTATATAATGCACAATGTTTGAGTATATGATAATGTTGTGTACAATGTTTTTAGTATAATAATGTCATCATTTCAAGCAATGAAAAATTATTTGATCATGTGACCTTAGATCATTAATTATGTTCAAATAGTATGATGGTATTCTGCATTGTTTACAGCAGTTTTTTTCAATGATATGGTTACAGAACCAACTGTATCAGGGCAGTGAATTGACTTCTTTGCAGATGGAACCTTTTTGACAAGTTGGTGATAATAGCATTAAATAAAAAAATTTCCAACACATTTTATGACATGTCACCAAAAAAATTGTCATCTTAAAAAAACAAAAAGTATTTGTTCAGCATTAATGAGCAATGTATATTTTATGACTGGAGAATTGCTAGAAAATAAAAGCTGACAAAATGTCTGCAGAAATATACTTGGAGTTGCCCAGTATCATTGAAATATGGCATGTATAGAGGGTTACAAACAAATAGAAAATTGACATTTAATGATTTTAAACTCCCATAATCCAAGAACAAAATTTTTAAAAATTTGAGCATATGTAAAAAAAATTTGTTTAGACAGCATCATGACTATGGTGCATGGCCCTATAGTCACAAAACTTTGACACACATTAGTAAAACAGTGACACATACTAATGATATGATGCATACAGATATTGGCAAATATTGCTTATACAGTGACACATCATGATAATACAGTGACACAGATTGGTAATACACATCATGGTGATATATAATGTTGATACCTTGATACATACTGATGATAAAGTAACACATAATGGTGATACAGCTACACATAATGGTGATATTGTGATATATACTTGTATTGGTACATTACTGGTAAAGTGATACAGACTGGTAATACAGCAATACATGATATGTTTCATAGAAGTATTTGTACACACTGATAATACAATGATAGATTGGTATACTGTGACATAATGGTGGTAAAGTGCTCATATTGGTGATATGTTGCATACAAGTCATATGGTGACACAGAATGGTGATTCAGAAACACAATGGTTATACAGTGATACATAATGGTTATATCATTATGAATCTGGTATTGGCACATTCTGTTAATACATTTACCCATAATGGTGCTAAAGTGACACATAATGGTGATACAGTAGCACATAATGATGACACAGTGACACATAATTGTGATATTGTGATGCATATTGCTGTTGCTACATACTGGTAATGCAGTGACACATATTAGTAACATAGTGAAACATGATACAAATCAGTAATCGCAGTGCTATGGCATACAAAACATGTTTCCAATAAATGGCACTTTAAGACAGTATAATCAATGGTCAGAATACTGCATGACACACTGGTCTTATGAATATACTTGGCTAACGTCAGGCAATTTTGAATTTCAACCAGTGGTCATCTGTTTGTATCAAATTAACTGTACAGATAATATGTTCAAGTGTGTCTTTACATCAAACAGCTTGCTTTCTTTATATACCCAGCTGACAATTAGCAGCTGGATTTTTAAACATGTTGTGAAGTGGCAAGACTTGTAAACCCAGACAACTGCATATCTAACTTCACATAGCTCACAAGTAAGATATAATAACCAACTATGCAGCAAACATTTGCTGTGTGTTGTTCTTTCTTATTTACACTGTGACATTCTATTTATTAAGTAATGTTGTAATGTGTATGTGTGACGCACACTGAAGCCAACTGATGCTGTGTGAATTATTAATTCTTATTTGACATTGAGCCATAAATTTAGGTGATTTTTTTGTAGAACACTAATGTAAACCCAGTAGACAGCTGTTAATTTGTGAGTTAATTGTTATGTCGCAGTGTTATTGTTATGATGATTTGTGAGTTAAATGTTATGTCACATTAAGATATGTTTATGAGGTAATGTTATAACACTAGTACACTAATATATGATCAACTATGCAGCAAACTGTTGCTTTAGAGTTACTGATATGTTACACTGTAACATATTTATACGGTAATGTATTAATACAAATGCATGTATGGCCCAATATCTGTAAAATGTTGCAGAGTTCTTAATTTTTCAAACAATATGACAAATTTATGAGGTAATATTATAACACTAATATATGTATAACCTACTATACAGCCAGCTGATACTGTGTAAGTTGTTAATAGTTATGTCACTGTGAGGTGATGTTATAAAATGAACACTTGTGAACATTATGTGATAAATGTTTCAGGCTACATCTTATTTGATAATAAAAGTTTTTAACTGTTCAAATTAAGAGTTCTGGCAGAAGAGATTGACCTACTGGTTGAGATCAAGGTGAGTCTCTTATCATGTAACCAGAACACTGGTTGTTTTGTGCTATGGTCAACAGTGTCAAGTGTATATTTATGTGTTGTTTGTAGATATTACATTTTCTACTATGGTGCACTTTTTCAGAATATACATAAATTTTGCATTTTAATTTTCTTTATATATTTTAACTTTAATAAGGAAAAGAAAAATAAAGATATACTTTTTCATTTTAAGATTGTGTTGAATTTATTTATTACATTCATGCAGTCCAAAAATCATTAAAAATAACAAATTTGAACAACCAGACATATTTGCTTTGGTCAGAGTGTTCTGGTGGGTGGCATTCAGTTTTGACAATGTTACTGTTCCACTATGATATATGGCTGTTGTTGCTAAAAATAGAACAACCTTTAAATGGTTTCTCAAAAATTTTAACCGCTCTGGTGGCATAGAGGTTAGAGCATCAACCTTGGATGTATGAGGTCGTGGGTTCGATCCCCAGTCGAGTCATACCAAAGACTTACAAAAATGGTACTAACAGCTGATTCACTTGACACTCAGCATTAAGAGGCTAGTGTTAGGACTGGTCGGCCTGTAGTCAGAATAATGTGACTGGGTAGGACATCATGCTACATGTCTGCGGCTTGATGCCCAGTGCTAGACATCACTATAAACTGCCACACTGCAGACATTGTAGCGATATGACTGAAATTTTTTTAAAGCTACGTTAATAATCATAATCACATCACATCAAAAATTAATGATATAAAGGTCTTTTCAGTTGGTCAAATGATAAAGATCACACAAACTTCTAAAGGACTTCCTGAAATCTAATCAACAGAACTTGACCAAAGTCAAAAGAAAGCATCTTGGCATAATGCCTTTCAACTTTGTAAAAATGATGCTGGTCTACCACAAAATATGTCTGCCTTTACTGTGTGTGTGTATATATATATATATATATATATATATATATATATATATATATATATATATATATATATATATATATATATATATATATATATTGTAATTTAATTAAGGAGATGTACATTTAGTTATAGTGCCCTGTTTAAGCAATTCATAGGTTTGTGTGATTTCTTGTTTGATTATTGGAATTCGGTGCAACGAGATATATTCCTTAGCATAAAATAATTAGCCAATTACTAGGAGCAACGTCAAAAGTGTTAGTGAGTTTCCATGATGCCATGGTCAGTGAGTATGAATTCAGACCCAATCAGCATGAGTAACCCTGGAATGATGAAGTCCTTAATAAAATCTAATGGTGTACATTGTTGTTAAGACTGCAGTGGCAGTATTTATGGTAGGACACTGGTAAATTTCACAATGGAATAAATGAGAAGGGACTCGGAAGATGCTGTTTATGTCACCATGGTAGTAAATATGATACAGTTGTATTGTTGTGATATGCCTTGAAACCATAGATTGACTGGTCTAAGGTGGCATAGTTAAAATAGTTCCCTGTGTTAGGGATAGTTGTAAAGTTTCTATAGTGTGAACTACAGACTGTACTAATATTTGATGTTGAGAACTATGCGGATGTGCGGTTGATGGATATTTGGCAAGTTTTGAATAATGTGGTCTTGCATTAATTAGAGTAAAATGTATGTATAGAATGGACTGGTCGGGCTTTTCAAATTACAACTGAAGTTGTATAGAAGTCTTTTGGAAATTTGGAGTAAACTTATGACTTCTAGTGAGAATTGCACCAGGGTTTCGACGTTTGTTCAAGCAAAAACCCATGGCTTGTAACAAGATATATATATATATATATATATATATATATATATATATATATATATATATATATATATATATATATATATATATATATATGCATATACACACACATATATATGTATATGCATATACAAACACATAACACACACACACACACACACACACACATATATATATATATATATATATATATATATATATATATATATATATAAAACTTAACCAATATCTCAAAAACTGCTTAACAATATTTGGCCACTTGCACTGTGGTGGAGCATATTATACAATTACCATGTTTGTCCATCATTCCATTATCTTCACCTATTCCACATGTAAATAAGTTTTACAGTAGATAACCCCCACCAAACTATATATAGCATGCACTTGGGGTAAGAAAGTATTTTATTGGTTTTATATTCAAAAAGCATGATTGTTGTGACTGAAAGAAGGAAGAGAGGTTTGCATAATAGCATAGCTGTGTTTCAAACACAGACCATACTTTGTAAACACTTGGCACATGCAGAGAGAAAGAACCTTGCAAGTTTTAGGTCAAAGGTCAAGGTGACTGACAGCAGAACCAGAGTGTAATCAATTACAAAGTTTACCTCTACATTCAGTAGTCTAAAATATCCTTAATAATTTGTAATGCTGTCATACAAAAGTGATCTTGACAATAAAAGTTTGTCCCATTTTCTAATTAATTTTTTGTGATTTCTTCTGTTGACATTGTAGCATTTAATGTTTTAAAAATGTTACATTTGAAATTTAATTTACACAATCTAGTCAATACTGTGCTGAAATACTGTTAAGCATGATCCACCTACATACATACTGTGACAAGGCCAAATGGACAGAAAATAACAAAAATGAGAATTATGTTCCATTAAATCAAAGTAGATCTACCATAATGATCAGATTAATTGTGATATCTTTTGCAAGTCATGCTCTCAACATGTGCCTCAAAAGCTTTTACTTTTGTCCAATAAAAGCCATATTTTACCAGTGAAAGTTAAAGGATTTGAGTAACCTTGGATTAACAGCCAGAAGTTCATGCATCAATAATTTTATTAGACACTACAGTTGAGACCTCACATCTAAGGCAATCCATTAATCTATTTCCTATAAATTCACATGTGCATTATACAAATACCCTGTTGTATTTAACCTATTACAATGCATGTTTTGTAATCAATGTGGAAAGTTGACCATTGAATAAAGATTTCTGTTTCCTCCCACAGAATAGGTTGTATACAACATGGAAGTGTATATGTGGTCATAAAAAATTAACAACTGTTAATAAAGCATAAAATACAGGTCACAATTATCTTCGCTTGTAAGACTGTGGTACTAATAAGATACATCCATGCTGTTATAGAGTTTATGATTAGAACATAAACTGTCCCCAATAAATGAATTTTAAATGCAAATTTCAGCAAGGTCACTGAAGCAGGAGATGTAGGTAATTGAGACTTTTTTGCAATTAAGAGAAGAACCTATAAACATGCAATCACTCACAAAGTTTCATGAATCTAGTAGAAGAGTTGTGTGCATGCCAAAAATTTGTCTTCTTATGAGCTAAATGCATAAAAAAAGCTGTAAAAATGTGATACAAGTCATAATGAGCTTGTTGTTTGGTACAGGTGTGTACAGTACTAAAAGATGTATATGAACAGTGCTTGAGTAATGAACATTTTACACACCATGCAACCCAAGTTCAACAAGCATAATACATGAACCACAGTAACGAAGGAGTACTGCTCATCAGGATGCATCTTCTCACCAATTCTATTTCTAAATTGGATAGCACTGTATCTATATCGAATATCTTATGTGGCCATGAACTAAATGCAAAATCAAAACCTAAGCTATCATAATGTGAAATGAAGATTAATGAGTGCTTATATATTAATGTGGTACAAAGAAAGAAAGATGTTAGTCTGATAAGTCAGCAGCCATACCAGTATTTATGTTGATGGGTGGTTTAAGGGTCTGATCTCAGATATTAACAAAAGCCAAAAATGATTGTAAAGGAAAGATCTGTCGGTAATACAAGTGTCATTGAATGATTGATTCAGTTGGAAGGAACAGCAAATCATCTACTAATGCTGCCTGGCAATGGGGACAAGATGGAAATATGCTGTAGATATTGCAAAAGACCCCTGCTAGCAACTATAAATCGAAAGCTGCAAGAAATACCACTAAATGTCAAATGTTTAAATTTGTTCTCTTTTTAGCAAGGAACTGAAAGTTGTTAAGAGATGACTCATCATAACTGAATGTTTTGACTACAATGAAAGAAACAACATGAATGATTTTTAAATTATTTTATTTCCGTCTCATAATTTATCACATCAGTAATCAATCATAAATTTGTATTAGTGAATTTAATCTATAAAATCATTTGTGTAAATTAGGTTCTGGTTATTTTTCAACTGATATTTTTAAAGCTGTGGGAAGGATTAATATTTTCATATTGAGACAAACATAGTAAGAGATTAACATAAAGAAAGAATTAAAAATGAACTAATCAACATATCATGCACAATAATATCACCAATTCCCTATTCTAAGATAAATAAAGTTCCCAGTACACTGTAAGATCATAAGGTGAGTTCTTGGTTTGGGCCAGAAAAGACTATTCATATGGTATATTTTGTAAACCACACCGTAAGCACGTTGAATCTTTTTTGAGGATGCTGGTACATATAAATTTTGAATTTACATAGGAACGTTGCAGCTTAACTTTATGTAAATTGCTTCATCCTGGCTTTGTATGTAATACAACAATATAAATTAGATTTAAGCACTATAACTATACTAGGATTCGGCGAATGTGGATATGTGAGAAAGCTTACCAGTAGCTTCTCGTGGGTCGGTGGTTCTTTCCGGTGATTTCCCGGTTTCTTCCTCAACCATTAATACTGGCCGCCATGAATAGCCTATCGTGTGCTGAAAAATGGCGTTAAGCTCAACAACAACAACAACAACTATAACTATACTGAAAAATCCATTGATGCTATTCTTAACTTTGCTTATTTCATTGACTTCTTCTGATACTTTAACTGAAAATTAATATTATTTTAAGAATTAAAACAATCTTTTATTTTTGTCTACAGGAATAGATGTTAAAATTGTATTACTAGCAAAATATAAAATTTTAATTTAAAATAGAAGTATTAATTGCTTTCAAACAAAGCATTGTACAGCTAACTTGGACCAACAGTTGTGAACTTATTAGAGCATTGGATTCGTAATACAATAGTTGCAGGTGTAATACCCACCCAGACCATCATAAGTAAGTCTCCTTAGTATGTGTTTGCTGTCATTTTGTTTGGCTTGATACCTAATCACATTATCGGATATCTACTTAATGGAAACAGGCAACAGGGAAAGAGCTGGCATGGACTCTATGTATGCTAATCATGTGAAAAACTTAAGAAAACTCTGTATTTCATTGCAAATCAGAAATAAAAGTGGTAGGGTAGCAGGGGATGGCTGTAGGTAAACTGACATGTTACAATCAATTCTTCTATTCAGCTGTGTTGACTTTGTTCATTTGAGAGGATTTTCTACAGACTGTCATGTGAAATATGTTAATGACCATCCAATTCACTGTACTACTACACCTTTATCAAATGACACCTTCTCTAATGAAACTTCCTCAAAAATGTGTACTTGCCCAAAACCAGAAAAACCAAAAATATATATTTAAACAATACTAGAAATACCCAAAATTGTTTATCCAATAC